AATTGGAACGGTTCGCCACACTTATATATTGTATCTCGACTAAAAAAAAGCTCTTAGCAGCTTTGACCAGTGGCAAGCCCCGGACCAAAGACGTCGCATTTTGCGCGCTTTCGGTACCGTGGGTCGCCCTCGTCGGTGGAGGAGGTTTCTGCGTCGTCCGGTTAAAATATGACGCACTGATATTTAGTTACTCTCTCCATGCCCGCTGGCTTGCCCCAACCCCAAGAGACGTAGAAACCGCAAAAAAGGTAGACGCTTAAATATGATTGCAGGGCTCTTTAAGGTGTTCCTGAAGTCCTACACGTCAGAATTCCCGTGCTTCATGCCGTCCAAAAAGGAAGAGAAGTTTGGATTCTATAGCACGTGCACGTGTGATGTGAGCGTTTCGCACGGTGGCAAGGCTGACATTAAGCTGCACATCACTTTGCGTAAACAGCCCTCCCCCCCTGCGCGGCTGCGGGAGTTTTACGATCTTGAAAGTCCACAGGTTGGCAGGTATGCTAAACTGCAGAGTTAGTTTTTTCGTTCAAAATCCTGCTTCTATTGCCAGCGTTTTGGACATGGTTCCCGAAACTGCTGCGGCCGAGAAACCTGTGGAAAATGTTGTGCGACTGGCCACGTCGCCGACATCTGTGAAAATGACCATAAATGCGTAAACTGTGGTGGACCATGCCCCGCATTTTCACTCGCATGCCCGAAATGGAAGGAAGAGAAAGTTGTCGCATTTAAGGTCAAGTACAATCTAAACTACCAAGAGGCTAGAGGACAGCTTGTCTTCAAGGCTAGCGGTTCATATGCCCAGGCAGTGCGAAGGGGATCCCCACTTTCTATGGCATCTGTGGAGATGCAGACTGAACCTGAAGACCTGTCTTCTCCACAAGGGTCCTGTTGCAAACGTCCGAAGACGGTGGGCAAACTACCGCCTTCATGTTCCAATAAGGTTGTTGTGTCCTCTAAGGAAGGTACTACACCCTCCAGGGAGCCATACTTGCCGTCAATGGCACCAGCTGGCCCTTCTGGCCGAGGTCGAGGGCTGCCTTCCCGTGCCTCTGGCAGGTCTTTAAAGGCAGGGTGGTCAGATCCACCTCTGCCGCCCAAAGGACCCAAGGTCTTGTTGGATGAGAAAATGGATGAGAGCATCCCACTCTCTGATGAGGACCTTCCTCTCTCTGGATCAGGGTCTGTCTCCTCGGCCTCCTGCGAGACTGCAGGATAGCCCAAGGCAAAGAAGAAAGCTATCCCACGGATTGTGGCACCAAAATACACATAAACTGCATTTTGTATGACACAAATATCGACCCTTTTCCTTTATTGAAGATAAATGTTGTTCTTCCTTCAGTGGAACTGCAGAGGCCTCTTGCCTAACTACAGCGATGTGAGCGATCCTTAAGAGGATCACCGGCTCATTGCATGTTGCTTACAGGAAACGCTTCTAAAGACCACCCACACTAATGTTTTAAAACACTTCCAAGTGTTTCGCAGGGACCGTACACATGCAGCTCACGCAGCTGGAGGTGTTGCGGTATTTGTGCAACGTCAGTTCCTTGTAACGAGGTGGCCCCTGCAGACTTTACTGGAGGCAGGGGCTACACACATTTTGTTAGATCGAATAATTACAGTCTGTTCTTTGTATGTACCTCCCAATTATCAGTTACATAGGGAGGAGCTAGAAGACCTTGTTAATCAACTCCCTTCACCTTTTTTACTTTTAGGAGATTTTAACGCACACAATCCCCTGAGGGGTATTGACAGACGGGATTCTAGGGGGACCCTTGTCGAATGTTTTCTGCTTTTTACGGGATTGTGCCTGCTAAACACAAATGAATTCACATGTTTTAGCTCAGTAACTTAAACTTTTACTTCCTTGACCTATCTATTTGTCACCCATCATTATTCCCACTGCTTTCGTGGAAGGTCATCCCGAATTCTCGTGCAAGTGACCACTTTCCTATCACTTTAAAATTTAACCATCTTCCCATGACAGTCTCAACGCGCTCACCTCGTTGGAAGGTTGAAAAAGCCTACTGGGCAACTTCCATGGAATCGTCTCTTTTGGCATGCACATCACTTGACAATCTCGATTCGTCCTGTAATTCCTCAATTTGTGAACATAGTGTCCAACTTACGGTTAATAACTTGATCAAATGGGCCTTTACGAATGGTTTTAAATTTGCCCCCGGAAAAATAGCTCGGGTCTTTTTTTCGTCGACGTGGAATTCTTCAGGAGCCATCCCTGAGCATGTACGGCACTCCTATTGTTGTAAAAAATGAGCGCAAGTTTCTGGGCCTTGTGTTTGATTCCAAGTGGACTTTCATCCCACGTAATCAAGCTAACTAAAGTGTCTTAAATCTCGCCTTAAGGTCTTGTCACATGTATCCTGGGGCTGTGACCGACTCTGCCTCTTGCGCATCTATCGCTCAGTCATTTTTTATCAGCATGATTATGGTAGTATTGTTTATAACTGCCTTTACATCAGTCCTGAATATGTTAGATCACATTAATCATCAGGGACTGCGATTAGCTGCTGGTGCGTTTTGCACCTCTCCAGCGCTTAGCCTTTATGCAGAAGCGAATTTACCCTCTCTGGACTATAGGAAATTTTCCCTGGGTTTTATGTACTGCGTCCGAGCCCGCTCTGTCGCCACGCGCCCCATTGGAGATAGTATTGAGAATGTCAAGTTCCAACTCACATTTGGAAACAACCCTTTCATAGTCTTCCCTTTTTCTACGAGGAATGGTAATGCAGCACAATCTTTTGGGGTGGATGCAAAGCTTCCACTAGTATAGTACCCACCACATAAAGCCCCATGGAACCATTGCCTCATACGTTGCGACTTTACACCCACCTCGTCTATTAAAAGGGGTGTTCCACAGGAAGTCATAAAGCAGGCATTGTTTTAGCTTCAAACCCGGTATTGGGACTACGCCAATTTTTATACAGATGGAACAAAACAAAAAAAGACTAGTAGACTGTGCAATGGTGGTACCATTGGTAGATCAGATAAATCAACAGCCACTATACTAAGAGCAGAGCTCTATGGTTTGCTGCTGGCTGTTGATTACATAACTTTAAAAAAAAGCTTCTTTATGCTGTAATCAACACCGACCCCGAGTTCTCTGAAGGAAGTCGCATCAATCAGCTGTGTAACAAACCCACTGGTTTCTGAGTTAAAGAACAAAATTATCTTGGCTGCAAAAAAAAATCTTGACATAGTCCTATGCTGGGTTCCTAGCCACGTTGGCATTCCTGGAAATGAGTTGGCTGTTTGCGCAGCTTTCACTGCTGATGGTAGAGAAATCGACGTGCACCAAATACTATACAAAGATCACCGCAACTCTTTGAAAGGTTGCGTCCAAGCAAAGTGGCGGCTGCAGTGGAACAATGAAACGGGCAACAAGCTTCATGGAATCAAACCTTCTCTGAGCGGGTGGGATGGTGCCCAACACTGGAAGCGCTTCTATGAGGTTGTACTTTGTAGGTTACGAATCGGTCATGCCCGTCTCACACCTAGGCACCTCTTGAGTGGGGAGGATGCCCCTGGATGTGGACACTGTCACTTGCCTCCAAGTATTGTGCACATACTCATTGAATGCCCTATGTATGATCAGCGCCATTACAAACAGTTCTCACTGGTTTACACACCAACTCATGTTTACAAACAAACTGGAGCGCCCCTAGTGGACGCCACTAGCGCCGCGCATGCGCGATGGGGGTGTGGGCAAGAAGCTCGTCGTCGCCCATAAGCAAACCGTTCAAATGGGATGTTGTTGGCGTTGGTATAAGTCCCCGTGCTTTTTTCGCGTTGAAATTGTTGCTTCTACGTCTTCCTGGCAATGTCCGAATACTTCAGCGGCCTCATCGAAAGTAACGAGGCTCGTTACACCGCAAAACTTGGCGTGAATAATGTAACACGCACCGATTCGTTCCGTGTGGACGCCACAGAATGGACTCTAAAACCTGATTGACATGGTCAGGTCCTGCTCGCTATTTTCAGTCATGACGTTGCCCGGGCTGCAAACGCCTGAACAGTAGCCGAGATGTCAATGTTGATACTGAAAATCGCAAGCAGAATCGGACCGAGTGAATCGGGCATCTGGTCACTGGTGAACAATTACCAACATCTCCTTATATCTACTGTTTACACTGAGCCTACTTACCTGAACCAACCTTCAAACTTAAACATCTTTTGAGGTCTGCACTTACTTCTTATCGCAATTACTGAGTCAATGTTTGGCCTACGGGCCGCTGTCGTTTGACCAAGCAGACGGCAGGCAAAAATGTTTGAGAGAGCAGATGACAGCTCGAACAATGAGGTGGCCGTTTGAACTTGATAATGCACTGAACATAGTCTGCAGGTGGTCTGTGCGACTTGACGGATTTGCTGCGCTCATGTTGGAACAAAACAAATAAATCTGACTACAAGTATCCGTGAATTCAATCCAAAGTGCTTTTCGCCCAAGCAATCGTGGTCCGACGGCATCTGTTCTTCCTATTTCACGGCCCCTATTTACGTTCTTGGACAAACCGAGCAGGCAGAAAACGCATGAAAATTGACCTTCAAACCTCTTCTGACTCTTTTGGTACAGCCCCAGTCGCGGCGTTTTGACGAGAAGGCAGGTTTTTGTCTGGTTTCTTCCGAAAAGACACAGGAATGCACGTCCCACGTGGTGACTTCCACCCACAACCCCAGACCGGAAGTGCGCCCGACACACCACCACTGTGCCGTGACGTAACAGAGCTGAGTTTGTGTATAAACATCAGATTCCACTACACCTTGCCTTACTACTAGGTGATGAACCGCTCATCCCACACAGCTGTGTTTTTAACTTCCTCATTGATGTCGGCCTTCTACACCGACTGTGATTTTACTGTCTATCCTAAATGCATGGTCATATTTTCATGTTCAAAGTTTTATCAGATATTTTGCTACTGTAGCTTTTTCCTCTCCTTAACCGCATTATGCAATAGTCTGAGCTTGGCTCCCTCTTTTGCTCGCAGCATGGAACCGGGCCTTCCAGAGCAACAAAAGAGGTGAGTCCCCGGGCGGGCCTGGCCGGCCCCCGTGCTGACGGGGCGCTTGCCCGCCCCACCCCAGACCCGGACGGAGGGAGCGGCCCCGACTGCGGGGGAGCCGGGACGGCCTGCTACTACCGGGACGCCTCGGCACCCGGCCGGCCGGACAGCTAGTGTGCGTGGGGCTGCGGGCGGGTGCTCCGCGGACCCCCGGTGCAGTGCGTGCGTCGGACCACGTGCCTCGGAAGAGCCCTTCGGACTGCTTAGGAAATGGTGACGGACGACCCCGGCTGGCCGCCGTCTGTGCGGGACGGGAGGAAGGAAGTGTGCCCCTTGCGGGGGAACCTCTGGTGCGACGGGGGGACCTTTGTTTTGCCGTTGTGGGACCCCCGGGACGGCCCCCGCCCTCTCAGAAGGCTGGGATCACCCTCCCCGGTGGGACCACCTTGCCCGGTGGGACCACCCTCCCTGGCGGGAGCCACCGCTCGCGGGGAGGACGCCCTCTGCGAAGACCGCTCCGGCCAAAGGAGGTGGGCCGCCGCAACCTGCCCTGGTCGCCCTCACCGAGACTTTTTTTTTTTAATTTGTTCTCTTTGCGGAGAAGATTGTGATGAACTTCCCCCTGCAATTCAATTTGCGTGGAGAGAGGTTTCGTCGAAGACATGTTACGATTAATTTATTATAATTATTGTTGTTACTATAATTATGGTGGTTTTGGGAAGGGCGCGTCGGGAGAAGAGGTGGCCCCCGAACGGAACAAAAGCTAGGTCAGGGTACGAAGGAGCCTAGTTTTTCTTTTTCTGGTTTTTTAATTGTCAGATATATATATATATATATGAAAAAAAAAAAAAAAAAGATATACGCGTATGATCGAGACAGCCACCGAACACTCTTCCAAGCAGTGAGTGTTACAAGGGCCTAGCCACATCGCCGGACGGGTGCCGCCCTTACCTTACGTTTCCCCTCAAACCTCTCCGCCCATTTTGTCGTCGCACAAAAGGGGTCCGGCGAAGGGAGCGACGGCACGTTTGCGGTGGCGCGCGTCGACCAAATGCTTCGCCGAGGCTCCGCGCGCGGGAGGGCAAGACGAGCAGTCCACGAGTGCCGTCGGAGGTTGTACAACCGGCTGCACGTTGCAGTCGCGACTAGTCCGAGATGGGGGCCTCTGGGGCAGCGGGGGGAGGCCCGGCAGCCGTGGGGGCGTCGCTCGCGGTGCCGCGTCCCGGCTGCCGGAGGACCTTGAGGGACACTTGCTCAGCTACTCGTCGGGAGCGAGGGCCTCCCCTCCTGCCCCTCAAAAAATAAAAGACAGGGATCGAGCGAGTGCAATGGAGAAATAAAAGTTGCTTCGACAGTTTTCCCTCGTGTCGTTTTTGGGGTCTCGTGGCGGGGAGTTGGAAGTTGGCAGAGACGGGAAAGAGAATGGGGTTTGCGTCTGTGACACGACGCTCGGCGGCAACCGCTCTACGCTACGTCGACGAGGCTAGCGTAGCTTCCCTGGTGTTGCGACGCCGTCCAAGCTATCTGTACGAGGGTGTGGCCCTGCCACCTCTGTCGTGTAAAGCACTAGATGAAGCCACGTGCCCTTGTGGCATTGTGGGTCCACGGCACTGCGAAAGCTACACCAGTCTTGACGATGCAGAGCAGCATAGTCAGTGTGGAGTTTAGCCAGTTTGTAACAAAAGATTGAGGACCGCTGGCAGCATTCGCTGCTCGGGATTCTGTTGGAAACGGACATTATTGTTTGCTCAATTGTCTGGAGGCTACGACGTAGGAGTATGTTCGTGGAACCAACATCACAAAAATGTGATTCGGAAGCACAATATCCGAGATTTAGTGGAGAATCCGCCAAATGACCTTTTTTCAGCTTCTGGTGTGTGAGCATTGCACATTTTTCTCATAGACCTGTAAATTGTTTGTGGATTGATGTTGAAAATTCAAGGGCCGGTTGATTGTGGACTTCTAACCGCGTCCGGTAAACCAGAGGACTGAATGTACTCGTCTATGTTTCGTTAAAGTTTAAATTGGAATTTTGAGCTTTTTTTTTTAACATTTGCCTTTTTTACATTAGAAAAAAGAAAATGTGTGGACTTCTGAAGTCCTTTGATTCAACGTTCATGGGTTGCCTGTCCTACTGCCTTGTTGTCAAAGTTTAAATAAGTGAGCATATGAGAAATCAAAACTGATAAATTTGGTTCTAATACTTTTATAGCGTGCAAGATTGTGAAATTTGATAGGCTTGCTATCAATACAGTGCAGATACATATCAAAAGAAACTAAAATAAGATCTTTGTTTTTTTTGCATATGCACCTTCATCAACTCTGCAGTGCTTCAGCGAAATTTTCTGCGCAGTTATGTTTGTCTTAGGCTTGAATGGAACTATAGTCGGTGACAGGTCAAGAACGAAGCGGAAGCTCCTCCCACCTCTTTCCACTTTAGCAGAGCGAATGCTGGAGAGGAGGCGACCTCCTCCCCAGCGTTCGCTCTGCCGAAGGGGGAAAAGCTGGGAGGACCTACCGCTTCGTTCTTGACCCGTCACCGACTGTGGAGTCAATTGTTTTTCTTGTTCTGTGATACTTCCAATATACAGGATGTTGCATGTGGGAGTGACGAAAATTCCTACAATTAGTGTATTCCAGGTAAAAAGATAGTTTTCTCGGGACCGCATTACTCGTGGTGGCGGACGTAATAAAATGCGCGATACTTACTAATTTGGTAATTGAGAATGACTAATTAAATTTTTATTAGTGAAAATAGACATGGTTTTAATTGGAAACTTGCTGAGTGTCATTGGAAACTACTAAATCTAATTTTCGGAAAGAGTCTGAGCACATGAGAAGCGTAGTAGTGCGCTAAAGTTGCCACTCGTGGAGCAGGTACAAGGCTAGCGGTTGTGGTAAGGTGTCTGCGTGATTTTTCCGTCTCCTATGATCCGCAGCCTTCTACCTGCTCCATGAGTGGTAACTTTAGTGCACTACTACGCTTCTCACACGCTCGGTCTTTCTGAAAATGCCTGGTTTAGTGGTTCTTGATGACGCTTATCACATTTCTAATTGGAGCCATTTGTCTATTTTCACTAATTAAGAAGTTAATGAGTCATTTCTAATTAATTAGCAAACTAATTAGTATTACATATTTTGTGACTTTTGCCACCACTAGTAATGCAGTCCCTAGAAAATTATCATTTTACCTCAAATACACTAATTTTAGAAATTATCATTCTTACATGAAAGACATGTTAGAATATGGTAATTTTATTTTGCTGAACAAAACAACAAAAATGTTCCTCATTTTTTTTATAAAAGCTCCGTTTTAGTACCGGGCATGCAGGAATGCGGAAGTCCCTGCCTACCGAATTTGAAAGCTACATCGAGTAGACTTCTCTAGAAAAGACTGCAATGCAAAAAGCACACACAAAACAGTATTTTAGTTTATATTTTATGTTCTGCCATTTAATAATAGTAATTCTATCAAACATCATGAGCCTTATTTCGGTTATAAAAATTTTAGAATTCACTATAATAGTTGCACTTTCAAACTCACCACCTTATCTTTTTCTGTACCACAGGGGCAAGTGGCGATTCCTGATAATAGGAAAAAAAAAAAAAGAACATTAGAAAATGTTCAGAATTAGGCTAATTGTGATATATCAAAATGTAGCCAATGAGCTGCTCTTTGGAAGAAGAGAAAAAGATGTTTGTAAAACTTAAATTTGACCGTGTTGGAGGAGAATAACACCGTAGCTTGACCAGCTTGCTCCATTTCCACGAGAATAAAGGTTGAACTTGGAATATATATGCAAAATGAAATGGATGGCTGGATATGGCTGAACCCTCTAGATTGGGTGGTGGCTAAAGCCCCTAGCCAAAGCTTCCAACTCAAATTAATCCAAATAAATTTGTATTCAGTGGAGTACGGCAAAGAATCTCGAATCGCTGCTGAGCCTCCATCTATTATTCTCCACAAAACTTTATTCTTCCCTCAACCTATAGACCGTTCCATTAGGGTCATAGCAGAGAGGATAAAAAAGAAAAACATGCACTCCCCCTCTCACCCCGATGCCATCCGCTCCGCCGAGTGGGCTGTAGCTAGCGTCCGGCTGGCGTGCAAACTCTGTTTAAAATCGCGTCATTTTGGAACTTTGAAGCGCAGATGCGCAGATTTTGGTGTGCCAGTTGTCGTGTTATACTATGCTAGATAAAAAGACTCACAGGGTCCAATTGCGCTGTTACCAGCGTGCAAATAAAAAAAAAAAAAGAAACAGGGAAAACTGTCAGATTGGCCGGTCTCTTTGGCGAAAAGTAAATCCGGTTGCTGTACCTTTTTTTTACTATAAAAAGTTCGTACTGGTGTAGGCCTTTAGCGACCATGAGTGGAAGTCTGAAATAATAAATAAAACGTGCTATCCTGCCGCAATACACGCAGTAGTTGAGGGTAGTACTGCCGGCTGACTCAACTGCTATTTAAGTAACGGAAAAAAGATATGCCAGTTGATCATTTAGCAAAATAGAACAACAGAGAGCTATAGGCTGATTTTGGAGTAGCCACAGCTATTCTAAGAACGTGAACCACTTCACAACGGCAGCCACGAGCGAGAGTTCGATGTTCGGTAGAGCCCGCCGATACAGCCCAAAGATGGAGAACGGCAACCTCCCGGTTTGTCGTCTGCTAGCGGAGTCGGGCGCGTGCCCTCTCTCTAGTTTTACCCCGCCGAACCCGCTGAACTTCCCGGATGTGTGGAGAGGGCGCTGCGGTCGAACAAAATGGTGCCGCCCAAAGAGCGCTAAATGGAATGGTCTATAGCACCAGTCCGATAACCTGTGAGTGGTGATCTCTGCTTTCCCAGCGTCTTTTTCCATCGCTGATTTTAAAGCCCAAAATACAAAGTAAAGTAGTAGTTGTTAGCCGTCTCCTTTTCCTCCCTACACAACCCCAAGATTTCCAGACAAGCGCTTGCCGTCACTACTTACGCCACCTATCAAGAAAAACTAATCACTCAATCGCTTTGCATTTTTGTGTCACTTCTCACTACGTTTCCCTCAACCCGCACGAGAAATTTCATGGTCGTGCGTTTATCATAAGAATTGCCAAAATGCAACCAAACTTTTACTCATTGGTTTCTATGGCGAGTCGCAGAAAATTCACATCTTTTCAAAATTCAATGCAACCCCCAAGAGAACCACACCATCAATTTAGTTGCATTTTGCTATATATATATGGGTAATTACATCTCAAATCGGACAGGCTAAAAGATTCAAACTTTTAATTTTCACGAAAAAAAAAAAATGTTTTGGCTGCATTTCTCAAATGAAGGAGGGCGCAAACCGCATGTTCCCCAGATTTTTTGTTCTCGAGTTACGAAGCGTAGAAGCCGCAGTGGCAGAAACTAGTGTTTTTGCCTGCCGTCGCATGTGGCGTGTTTGACACCCTCTGCTGGCGCTAGGGCTTTTCCTACACCCTTTTAACTTTTTCCCCTCGCTTAATAGGTACTATGAAGATGCCTTCACGTATTCAAATATTTCTAATAATTTGATTCTTTTCTAAAAAAAGAAATGTCAAAATCGTCACTCAGGTTGATTTTTGTCAACTTTGACAGTTCATTAGTTTGTGTGTACTTAAGGTACATTTTATTTCTTTGGCTCTATAAAAAGCCGTAAGCATGCCTTGTTTAGATATAGCAATATCATTATGATCTGCTAAGTAGCCGCTCCGCTACCTTCACGTTAACGTGAAAAAAAAATGTTCACACATTTCACGCGATTGCGGCTCAAACAGAGGACATACAACCAAAATATTACATTTCTAGACTGTTTTTTGTAGTCGACTAATATATCTAAAAGAATTTTAAAAAATAAAAATTTACAAAAATGGGGTTTTTGAAAAAATCGATCTCAAACTTTCAACATTTGTTATTTCTTACAACGTTTACGTGAAGGTAGCGGAGCGGCTAATCAACATATCATAAGGATATTATTATATTTATAATGGGCTTGCTTTGGGCTTTCTGTAGAGCCAAAGGAAGAATTTACCTTGCGTACAGACCTCTCAAAGTTGACCAAAAAGCGACCGGAGTGACGAGTTTGACATTTTTTTTTTTAGAAAACAATCAAATTCCTAAAAAAATATTTGAGTACGTCAATGTATCTTTTAGTATCTATTAAATGAGGGGGGTAAGTTAAAATGGTGTAGAAAAAACCCTAGCGCCAGCAGAGGGTGTCAAACACGCGACCTGCAACGGCAGGCAAAAACACTAGTTTCTGCCACTGCGGCTTCTACGCTTCGTAACTCGTGAACAAAAAATCTGGGGAACATGCGGTTTGCGCTCTCCTTCATTTGAGAAATGTCCCCGAAACATAG